AGGCGTGGCATAGCGAGGCAGGGGCTTGTGGCCCGATGCTCCTGTCCCCATGTCTCCAGGATTCCAGTTCGTAGGGGAAAGGCAGTGCAGGGCTGGGACTAGGGTCAGGCGAGTGGGACACTCACCCAGAGCAATGTTAGGGGACACCAAACACTCAGTGATCAAAGTAAACAGTATTTCAACGCAGTGTTAAAAGAATCAAATCCGTGAACTATGGCCTGCAGGCTGGGTGCTTACTTTTTTTGAAAGCCTCGGGAATCTCCGTGGCCTCAGGAACTGAGGGCCCCTGGGGAGTGTCCTTGTGGGCATTTGTTGTCCTCAATATGACAGTACCCATAGGCCTGCACCCTGGACTCGGCCCAGCTCTTCACTCCCTGTGCTCCCAGCACCAGATTCCCCGGCCCGGCCAGGGCTCAGGCACTATTGAGGGCTAGAGGTGGGCGGGGCTTGTCCCCTACTCTGGAGGAGGAGTGTGCAAGGGGCTCCATGGTCTTAGTACTGAAAGTAAAAATTCTCTCCAGAGACTGGTGCTGGGAGTCAGGAGCTGGCTCACAATTAGCTGGAGACTCTTAGGAAGGCATCTCATCTCTCTGAGGCTCATCTTCATGATTGGTCATAGGGATGACTGGGTCCCCTCTGGGCTCCTCAGTAAGAGCTCAGGAGGGCAGTGCCTTATACCCCGAGATGAGCTCTGGAAACGTAAGCTGCTCTTCTTCCAGTGGTGGGTGGGATAGATTCTGATGGGGGGTGACAGCTGCTGGCCCAAGCGTGGCTGAGTGGGATCATAGGTCAGGTCAGCTCCAGCACTCCACTCCACCCCAAGTGGTTCAGTGACAGGCTAGGGGCTGGGGTGGGGCAGGAGGACAGTCCGTCACCCCCAGCCTGGTTCACAGACACCTCCTGAGGTTCCTTACCTATACTCTTTCCACCTACCTACTCCTCGGACGGGTGGCTTTGCAGGTGTCCTCACACACACTGTGTTCCCGGCCCACCTTTGGGGTCTCCTTTGCCCTTCTCCATTGTCCATTCCTGAGAGCTACACGGAGGAAGGGCATGAAAGGGGAAGGCGTACCAGGCCCGAGGACATGCCTCAGGTGACCACCTCATGCCTTCCTTCTTTTCCTTCTTCCCAGTGTCCCCTTGGGCCGGGAACTGGCTGCCTTCTTAAAGACAAGAATGGGGAAGGAAGAGAGGCTTAGGGGTAACTTTTCAGTTCCTGGGGGCCTGGCTTTCTAATCACAGGCAAAAGTTATCTAGATTGTTCCGGCAGAGAGAAGCAACCAGAATAATTAGGGTCCAGGGGATTCTTTAACAATAAGCTCTAGATGGTCCCTTTTCATTTATTTACGTTTGTCTGGAAGGCCTGCGGTGCATCTGTGTCCACCTTCCCAACACCCGCCAACTGCCTTGCCTTGCTGGGACTCTCTGTGCTTCCTCCTGCCTCAAAACGTTTCTACCTGCTGTTCCTGCTGCTGGAAAAAGGACCAAAAATTAGGTAACATTTTCAAAAGAGAAAGGATTTCTATGAGCCAGGTTCTCCAGGGAAATGGAATCACACACACACACACACACACACACACACGATTTACGATGCGTTTCAGTCTGAACTGAAGGCCTGAAACCCAGGAGAGCCAACGGTGCGGTTCCCGTCCAAATGCTAACAGGTTCAGAACCCTGGAAGAGCCAAGGCTTCCGTGTAGGTCCCAAGGCAGGAGGAGGCTGGTGTCCCCACCCAAAGGCTTGTCAAGTACAAAGCGTTCTCTCTTGTTCGACTCAGGCCTTCCTCTATTGGAGGAGGCTCCCTCACCTTAGGGAGGGCAAACTGCTTTACCTAGCTGATGATTTACATGCTAATCTATACCTTCACAGAAACACCTGGAATAATGTTTGACCAAGTATCTGGGTATCCCAGTCACATTGACACATACAATGAACTATGAAAGAATTTTAAAGGTTAAGGAAAAAAATTATAATTAAGACTAGAAACCAGCAGATGGCGTAATGGATATGCTGCACAACTCCCACATGGCCAACTGAAGTTTGAGCCCCAGACCCGGAGGTTTGAAAGTCACGCTGGGCTCATGTGTGTGCTTGCCCAAAATCCTGAGAGGAGAATGGAGGATGAGATTTTAGGGTGGCCATCTCCCCCACTGGGAGTGATGTCTCACTTTCTGTCTCTGAATCTCTCTGTCTCTCTGGTGAACATAGGTGTCCTGTAACAAAAATCTCTCTAAAAAAAGAATACATAGAAATAAAAATGTTGCTAATTGCTTAAGAGAATTAGCCAATAAAATGAAAAGTGTTAAGATAAAGATAAAAGGAAAATTGTTGTAAAAAAAGAGTAATTCCGTATGGACAGGGTAGAATGTGAAATCCAAAAACCTAAATTACTTAAAGCCTAGATCGTATAAATCCAGAAGGGAAAACTGAGAAGCATCGCTGATGAAGGCACGAGCCCGACTCTGATGTCTGAGGAGGACCCCTCACCTCCTCTTCTCTGGGGATTCTAGGGTGTGAAAGGTTCTCCCGTGAACAGAATATGCTTGGGAATGGGGACACAGGGAGGTTGGGCCAGCAGGTCTTTGAGACCTGACCTTCTCAACCTCCCTCTTTTTCTTTTGTTTAAAATTCATCCATTTCTTCCAACAGTGAGAGACAGAAAGAGACTCAGACAGCATCCCCAGTAAGATCCGGAAGCTGCACTCCAGCCCCAGCCAACCCGGAACGTGGGCACAGAAGTGCCCAACTTGTTTAGGGGAGAGTCTGGACACAAGCCCAGAACCTCCCACATGGGTCAGCCTCACAGTCACGTTCCAGCCACAACTCCATCTCGCTGCTCCAGCTTGGATGTGGTGTGG